TCTTTGGTTTATTGTTTTGTTTTGTTTTTTTCCTAAGCAAAAAAAAAGAAAAGAATCTGGAACCCCTTCATCTCCAGAAGCTGACAATCCAGTGGGGAATATTAGATTCCAGGGGAAGAAACCCCCACACAATCTTGGGAAGAAGAAACCCTAATTCACAGAATGCCAGCTTTGCTTAGAGCAGCTGTCTCACCCAGGTACCAATAACGGGATTGGTACCATAGTAACTGCTCTGAGGATAGGACTCCCAGGGCAAGGAAAGCGGCATTATTTTTCAAGTTATAAGACCAACGAAAAGCAAGGTTGGTTTATCAGGCCTGAGGCTTGGGCAGGTAGAAGAGGCCTACTATGTTGTTCAAGTTTCAAGGGGAACAAGGTGGCCTGGAAAGTTCACAGTTTTAAAACTTTGATCGATTGGTTTTTCTCACTCTGGTTTATCTTTCATGTGAGAATGTATTTTGCTTAATAAATGAATTTCTAGGGCATTATTTTTAAAAAGAGAGATTTCCAATTCTAGTCTTAACAAGAGCTGGGGCTCCATTTTCCCTCTGGGTAGAATTACTAGCTAGGAATCAGCTAAATCTAGACAAGGAGGCAGCCAAGAGACTAGGGAACTTAGAAGGTGCTAAAGAAGTATGTTCCCAGGAAGGAGATAGAGCAGTTTTCACTGACAGAAAAGGTGCACCAATAATTCCTCGGGGGTAGGGATTCGACCACGGGGATTAACAGGCCTGGAGAGAAATCTGCCATGTGTATTTTTTTTGTTTTGGCTTTCTCAGTTCTAAGATAATATTAACATTAATAACAACTTATATTTGCACAATGTTATGGTTTACAAAGTTTCTTCACACTTCATGATGATGCAAAACCCCTGCAAATATTTAGTTTTTTTAGGGAACGGGCTCAGGGCTCAAAGTTATAAGAAAAAAAAAAGAATTAACTAAAAGTATAGCCAGAAGACCTTTATTTTTCCTGTTAAGCTCTGCAGTTTCCTTCTAGGGAGCCATCAAAGGATGGAAAAAACAGCAGAAGGTAAGTGAAGAGCAACCCCTTCATCAGTCACCTGATCTCAGGCTCCTTTTAATCTGTTCAAACTAAGAGAGTCTTTCGGTTACCTCACACTGTCTCCTGCATCCATTTGGCTAAATGCGGGACAGGGATTTAATGAGAACTGATCTGTGAGTGGAGGGTGTTTTCTGGGAGGAGATAGGCAGGGTCTGAGAGAGAGAAAATGGAGCCACAAGTAGGGTGACCATTAAACCCGGTTTGCTTGGGACAGACCTAGGTTATACCTGCTGTCCCGGCATAATTATCACAGCACCCCTTTCACTCTCAGATGTGTTCTGGTTGGACATTAACTTATATGGTCATCCTAGCCATAGGTGACTTGGTAGGGTGTTAATTAATGATTTATTTATTTATTTATTTATTTATTTATTTATTTATTTATTCACAAAATTGTTTTGACCCCGGGGGTAATCAGCAAGGTTGTATAGGTTCAACTTTCTCATTCTCAAGGCTAATGCTTCTAAGGAGCTAAATCTGCACTCCAGGAATGTTAAAGAAGTTAACTGTTTTAACCCTAATCATCCAGGCTTTTATAGTTTTGGATGGGGCCTCAGGCAGTGATCCATACAGAGCTGGCTGTTTAAAAATCATGTGGGGAACTAGTTAAAAATAGAGATTTATGGGCCAATTGCCTGAGATTCTGCTTCAGCACCTCTAAGGACCTATTTAAAAATGAAAAACAAAGCTTCCCAGGTGGCATGAACACAAAAGCTAGATTTGGACCTACTGCGTCGTCATCCTTTGACCCCTGCCCGAAGTGATCCATTGTTGCTATGGAAACCACTGATTTATCCCTCAGCAAAACTGGAATGAGTTTTAGTCTTTGTTTTCTGTTTTAAGTACACATTTGTTTCAAAAATAGAAGGCATTATTTTTGGAAGAGAAGATTTGTTTTCTCTCTCAAGATATTTATATTTAGAGAGAAATAGCAAAGCCCCTAAAAGGCAGAAAATTTTCTCGTCTGAAACCAAATTGAGCAGGAAGCAGGCATCCCTCACTACTTTAGTCCAAGGAGTAAGAACTAATGAGCAGTTCTTTCCCGATGCAAGTTTCGGACTCTCTGGAGCGTCCTTCAGATTTAGTTGTAGGCGCCCGGCTAGAGGCCTGGGCTCATGGGCTTCCCCGTCCCCAGGTGGCCAGAGGGGCTGCAGTGACTGGCCAAGACGGTATCAAGAGACAGGAGGCTCCAGCTTGAGGCAGACCTGGAAAAGGATGACCCTATGAAACTACTGTCAGAATAAAATTTACATGCACAGGGCCGAGTGGCCACGTGACCCATACTGAGCCACCCTGATAAATATACCACGTTTATGCTCTATGACTGAGCTGAGTAAAAAGCAGTAACCCATCTTCCTTTAAGCTTCAGAAGCAGAGGAGATGGGGTGAAGAGAGGGACTGAGGGAAGGTTTCTGTAGCTTTAGGTTGTAAAATTGGCCTGATAATTCAGAATTTAGCAATTCTGAGTTCTCTCTTCTTTCAGTTTAAAAATAAAAGCACACACTTCATAGACTCTGTAGATGCATGACCAACGCACTGTACACCTAAAGCTGAAGTAGAATAATATTGTATGTCAACTATAATTATATATATATATATTTATATATATATATATATATATATATGTATATATATATGCTCAAGGGAGGTGGAGTATAGCATAAGGACGATAGTCAATGGTACTGTAACAGCTATATATGATGTCAAAGGGGTAGTAGCCTGGGGGAGAGGGGTTATCACTTTGTGAGGGGTGTAAATGTCTAACTATTACATTGCTCTGTACACCTGAAACTAACAACAACAAAAAAGCATAAAATGGTTGCATCTCAAACAGAAGGATCTTGGAATTCACTGCTGTCTGTAAATCCTGATACATCTCCTTGGGACACCAAAGCAGAATGTCCCTTCTGTGGATGAAAAAGGGGCCACATACTAAACTTGACAAGCTCAGGGGAGGCCAGCATGGCCGACTTCACAGACTCAGAGGCCAAAAGTAACCACATTGGTTGGTCTGAACATAAAAATTCCTAACTAAAAGCGGGTCATGGTGGTTAGTCCTGTCCTAGGCCTGCAGCTTCCTTGACAAAGGTCAGTCTTTACCTTAAGTGAGCCTGTCTATTGTCTTTTTTCAGCTAAGATAACATACCTTTGAAATGTCAGTAATCTTTTCCAGACCCCTCAGGGCACAACCACAGCACCAGATCATGAAACCACAGAACCCCTCATTGTAATCTTGTTCCCTGCATATAATCTCTATGTGCTGTACATGTGAACTATAACTACCCTGTGCCCACCAATGTAACAGAAGTGTTTCTTCATTTTACTTTTATCCAATCCCAAAGATTTCCCCGCTTTGCTTTCTTCTGCCCCCTTAAACTACCACCAATAGATTTCATGTAACCCTCCTTATGCCTCCTACTTGGATTCTAATGTATAAAATAAGCTGCAAAACTGCCATTCTCCGGAGCATTTTCTCAATCCATTGAGATTTTGCTTCCTGGCAATTGTCAGTTTGGCTCAAATAAACTCATAAAAATTCTCTACAGGTTTGGATGTTTCTTATGTCGATACCTCCAAAGATACCCACTGGGACCCATCACCTTGCCAGCAGCTATTGTACCAAGGTGGGCAAGGCCCCTACAAGCACCAGCTGTAAGGAATTCTGTGTGACAGGAGGAGCTGGTCCTTCTCTGAAATAAGAATCGTTCCCTTTTGGTTCTCCTCTCTCTCTCTCAGCCTTTGTCTGAAGAACTCCTTGACATCAGGTGGAAGGTGATTTTCACACACTCAGCCCTGGGTGCTAAAATCTTGCTGCCAGAATTGCTCCTAATGTGCTTCTCCCTGGTTCAGGGCACGGAAAATCCAGCTTAGTCCCCTGATCCAGCTGGCTGTCAGCACCTTCCATCACACACCATCTACTCAGAGCCCATGGAGCACCAAGATTTGTATTAATCACCCTCTTCCAAACCCTTTCACAATTCTACCCCCTCTTTCCTATGAACCCTCACATCACCACCCAGGATTTATAGCTTCCTGTTGTTGATACAATTCACCTCTCAACTATTGCGTTTCCCAAATATTAGCATAACTGCCTCTCCTCCACCCCCAGCTGACTGTAGACCCCTACTCCACATGTGGATTTGGGGCAAGGGATTGTCACCAGGAAACACTAGGGCAATCTGCTGAATTTACTCTGGAGTAAATGTCTACCAATTTAATTTTTCAGGGCTGAGTACATAATGAGAAACTGACACAACGACAAGGAGAATGTGATGTGGGAAGAAGCTAGGAAGGAAAACAGAGGACCCGTGAACAGGGCTGGATGGAAAAGAGAAGGAAGTTAAGGCTTGCATCACAATATCCCACAAGACCAGTGTTTATTTCAAACCTCCTCCACCTCTAGTTGCTGCTGCTACAACATCATCATCCTCCGTGTCTGAGCCATCAACTTACTCTGGGAGCCTGGGTTCCTTCCCCTGGGTCTGCTGGGCCACATGAGTGTGGAGTCCACCCCCTCACTCAGTAGTCTCTCCACCTGTCCATTCAAGTTTAGGTGGCTCTCCCAGTGCACCCCGGGAAGCTGCAGAGAAGCTCCTCCTCCCTCTCCTTCCCTCTTCTATTTCTTCTAGGCCTAAGCTCCAAGTAATTTAAAGGATCTTAACCTAGGACCCACAGATGAGCTTCAGGGGCCCTGGAAACATCTTAATACTGCACACACACCATATGCGTGCGCGCATGTGTGCATTCGTGCACACGCATGCTTAATTTTCTGGGGGGCAAGATTCACCACTTTTTCCATTAGATTTTTAAAGGGACCACAAAAAGGACAAGGAACCACTAATGCATCCTTAGCTTGTTCTGTGCGGGTTGCACAAATGATGCGCAGAAGAGGCTGGAGGGACGCGCAGGCAGCCGTGGTAACCACGGCACAGTACCTTGGAAGCAGCCATCACCGCCGCTGTGGCCGCCACGTTCAAGCCTCGCTTCCCGAAGTGCACTAGGGCATCATAACTTCGGTCTTTTGCTTGGACTAGGCAATCATCAATTTCCTGTCAAAGGAAAAACCGAGGCACACTGAGCTGGGAGGTTCAGACAGATCTCCTTTCTTTCTCCCTTCTCCTGAGGGGCTGGGCTTGGCACCTTGCCCAGTCACTGATTCTCGCAGGGGCTGAAGTCATAGGCACCTTGGGTGGGTGAGTAGGTATAGACAGGAGGGGAGACGAGAGACAGAGGCGGTACAGGAGAATGGAAAGGGGAATTTTGAAAAAACAGCAATTTACTGACCCAAGAAGGTTTTCTTCAAGCAGTACCTTAGGATTATTCCTAAAGTCCTCTAGCATTCTGGGGAGGCTCCAAGGAGTCCTGAATGTGGGCAATCCTGCCATTCTACACACAGTCACTTTCTAAGACACTGAAGACACCTAGGGTATGGAGAATGCCAAGAACGAAATCAGACCTGCCACTAACTGGCTGTCAGACCTTGGCAAGTACTTAGTCTCTACACACAGGTCTGTCTTCTGAAAAATGAGGACAATGATAGCACCTAGCTCATGGAGCACAGGACGATTATATGAGGTCATTCCAGTAAAGCATCTGACACAGTGGCTGGTTTCACTAAGTGAGAACCAATGTCATCTTCCTTATTTCCAGGGGGTTGGGCCCTTGCAGCTCTAAAACTCTGTTATTGTATAGCCATTTTATACTATATCCAAATAGCTCCCCATGTATATATCCATGGGAGGAATTAGGACACAGAAAGAGATAGGTGTTACTTTTGTTGATAAGGGAGATCGTCTTGCAGATAATGAAATAAAAGCAGAAATCAGAAGTCATCCAGCATCATACCACAAGGTAAAGGTGAAGTGGGAAAAAGAATTAAGGTCTCCTTTAAGGACCAAAACCAAGTAAAACACTGGTTTAGTTCAAATTTGCATCAATTCTGGCTTATTCTTTTCATTTGTTTTGGGTTGTTTTGTTATATATATAACAACTGTTGTGTAACCACAGCAGCTCATTTCAGAGTTCAGTAAGACAATGACATTTGACCTCAGTCTCCTTTGAAATTACACACGTTAGTGCATGTCCTTTACTTTGAGGGATGCAGGTGGGTGGGGCAGCCCAGCCCCTGCTGGCTTCTTGTTTAAGCTTCCCCAAGAAGTCACCACAGGAAACTTTCATTGTGACCCCTGACTGACTCTGGGAGTGATTCTTGACATCCATCGATGTCACCTTCGCATCAGTGGAAATTACAGTGGGAGCTTCAGGTTAAGCCCAGCCTTTAGGGACAGGAAGGTAGGAAGAATAGGGATTTGATGTCAAGAAAGGAATCAGCGTTTCTCAAAATCTACTCTTCTGAGACAAAAGAGCTGTCCTAGCTTCTGAAGGGATTCTAAGAAATGTCTACAGTAGCCTGCTCCTCCAACTGATGTGCTTCCCAAAGCCTTCCCCTAGAAGTCCAAAGTCATCAGCTTCCAGGTATAATACAAATAGACATATAATATAAAGCCACCCATAGTGCTCCCATTTTATGTTAAAGAATCCTATCACATAATCAGTTTAGAAACTCATATAATTAATAAAATATATGATTTGTAAGCAATAATGCCACTCTCGGGAATTTTTTCTAAGATAATAAGTCAAAAGAAGGAATTAAACTCCATGCATAATGGTTTCATGGATCACTATGAAGACCAAGTAAAAATGAATTACATGCAACCATGTTTACAATCTCAGAATACAAATGTTGTATCTATGTTAAGTTTTTCTGTTGTTATTTTTGGTTTTTTAGTTTTTTTATGCACTTAAAATTTTATTTTAAAGAAAGGTTACATAGAGTGTTATGCACTGAAAAAGTTATCAAATTAGTAAGACAGAGGTAATGTTTACTTTAATGAACTTTGCATACATTATTGCATCAAATCTTTTAAAAATGGAACAATCACTGAAAGCAAATTTGGCAAACTAGGTTCAGCCGAGATGTTAAACAAAAAATAATTTTATATGTATATGCATATATTAATATATATATACATACATATATGCATATATATATAAATATATAAATATATTTCTGAAAGGATATGCACCAAAATGTTAACTCTGGTTATCTTTGGCTAGTAAGATTGTAGTTGTTTTTTTCTTTCTTTTTTTTTTTTTTCTTATCTGTATTTCCTGATTTTTTCTACAATGAATAATGGATTGTTTATATATTAAAGTCTTGAAGGGTAAAAAAAAATAATAATTTTATAGATAGTGACATTATCGTATAAGTAGTTTAGAATTATATGTCTTTTCAAGAGACATAAGTAGTAATTTTTAGTTGAATTCTTAGTTATTGTTGATCCTTCCTTGCAATTTATCCCTGTCTTATTTTTTCCATCTTTGACATTAGACAAATCTACATTTTCATTTTAAGGATGTTTGTGAAGTACTTTGAAGCAAAACAAACACAAAAGGTAAAGAGCATCAAACAAATTATTGTGACTATTCTCATTAATTCTTACCAACTGATAATTACCAAAATAACAGGTATTTCATTGGTAGCATACATTTTACCATTGCACAATAAAGCAAACATTGTACTAGAAATGTATTATAATCTAGTCTTTGTTAGTAGCTATCTGAGTACAAGTTCAAGTCATTTAATCTCTCTGTGCTTCAGTTTTCCTTTCTATGGTAAAATTTTAAAGTATTTTTTAATAGTCTATGTAAAAATCGTATCTGCAAAAGTACAGAGGCTGAGCATGATGGAAGGAAATTCATTTCGGGAAGTGGAATTCTGAGTGAATCTTTTCTGTCTTTGGTTTCAATTTATGGAAATGTTTTACAATTAATAATGACAAATAATATCTTTTGGAGAACTTCACAACTATTTCTAAACATGTCAGAAAAATACACTTGAAAAAAAGATTAGAAGGAACAACTTCTTGGGGACAAATAAGAGCCAACGAAGGGTCTCCTGCAATAAAGTAATCTGCCCTTTCTATTTAGCACTTTTTAAAATTTTCACTCACTGGAAGGAGCGAAGGCAGAACAACATAAATTACCTTTTCTTTTGAAGACAGCGTGGGATGTACAAACTTCCTGTATAGGAGGCTGGAGCCTTTTGTGTAGGGAGATAGCAGCCAGGCTACAAATGCTATTTTTAGTTCATAATAGAATGGAAACCTGGAGAGAGATGAGAAATATACATTCCCATTAGGTTCTTGGCAACACTGCCCTGGGCCTGTGAAGGACGGGGCCCACATAGACACCTCTCCTGCTTGCACATGGATGCAAGGCCCCTGGATTCCTCCTTTCCCTACCCATGAAGGTGTGTGCGCACAGACACGCACACACAGCTCCAGCCCAAAACCTCTTTTGAAAGTTGGTTCGTGTTTTCTTTTGTTGCCAAAGCAAGCCAGGATCCCAAGTTCTTTCCAGCAATCACCCTACACCCATGCCTGGCAACAGCTGGCACTTCCTGCCTGGTTAAACTCATTTAGGTGGGAGCCGGCGCTCCAGCCCCAGCCTGCACACCCAGTCATTCACTCTTCACTGGCGGCCAAGGAGGCACAAAAACATCTGGAGGTTGTGCCGCCGGGCAGAGCCGACAAAGAATCTCCCGATTGAAAATAAAAGCCTCCCCTTCTTGGCAGTCTTCTCAGCCCCCAAAGAAGCAGGGACAGGAACCTGAATCTTGTCAGGAAAGAGGATACGACTCACCCTACTCAAGTTAATGGCAGGCAAACAGATCTTGACCTTTTTGGTGTCAAAAGAAAGAAGAGTTTGGGGCACAGGTACCATACAATTCTGGAGTTTGAAGTCCTGTATACCATTCACTTATTCATCCCACTTACCCAGTGCCTATACGTGGCAACTTGTGCTGAGCACGGAGGAGACAATGGTGAGGAAAGAAGACTAATCCCTGCCCTCTGAGAACTCCCTGTGTAGTGGGAAACACGGACAAGATTCTGACATCATTGGAACTGACGGTCCAGTCAGGCAAACAGAGATTAAACAAATAATCACAAATAATAGAGAACAGCAACCGAGACAAGTGCCACATTGGGCCTCTGCTAACTCCTGCTGACTTTGTACTCATCAGCAAAAGCCAGCCCCTTCAACTGGATGCAGGCCTTCAAGCACATGGATTACCAACAGGGCTTCATCTGAATTTCAGCCCCATTCTCCTCCTTGGCCAGATATCTTGTGCCGTGAATAACCTGTGCAACCATATTTGGTTGTCCTGATATGTATTAACCATATCTTTATATTTTCTCTATTCTGATGCTTGGACATCTTGGGCCTGGCTGACTCTGAAGAGACTGCCCTTCCCAGGGTTAGCCAATTCCCAAAGATAGTACACAACTCACCTGTAAGTGCTCCTTTCATATGCAAACCAACCAATCCAGTGCTCACAGGCCCCAAATAGCTCCTTTATTGCGCTCTCACACTCTGGGCCTCTACCCACCTGCCCTAATTGCCCCAGGATAGGAGACCAGACAACCAGGGACAGCCCCCACACCCCAGAGCCCACTGAAATTATTCAGACTAGCCAATTCTAAACCTGCCTTGCCTGTTCCATGGAAATCACAGTATAGGCTCTTACCCACACTTTCCACCTCGGCTTGGGGATGGCCTCCGTGCTTCCCCGTGTGGCGCTGCATGGCACACTGTGCCTCTCTCTGGAGATCGCTGAGTATGACAAACCTCTTCCTTCATGACAGTCACTTCCATGTCTGTGAGTCTTACTGTACCTGATTTTAAGGGTGCCTTAAAACGTGATTCTTTAAGGGAAAAGCGACACCTGTGCTAGTCTGAGGTATCAGAAAAATCACTTCCTTCCAGGCATCCTCCCAGATGAGGGAGCCAAAAATAAACAGCAATTTCTAGCAAGTCATTTCAGAACCTTTAACTCTCACACAGACCCCAGGTCAGAAGCGCTACCCACTCATTCCTCATTGAGGTCCCCTGGTCCCTGGCCGTCTGCCTCTGGCCGACTCTTCCTAAATATTCCCTCAGCAACTATAGGACACTTTCATGTCAAGACAGCGTAATCTTGACAGAACAGAGATGGTGCTGAAGGAACGGGGGCATGATTCTCCCACATCTGAACACCCTGGTGATTATTAAGAGAGGAAATTTTGTCTTGAAAACAAGTATTTTTCAGCCCTAAGGAAAACAAATGAATCTGGCAAGTTCCGACATCAACACAAGATGCACAGATAATCCCAACAGGAACTGTTACACTGCACTCTTTCGTTTATTATGTAAAAGATATATTTTTAAAAAATAGGTAACACATGCATATAGTTTAAAACTTCTAAATGTCCGCAAGACATACAGCAAAGTATGTCCTTTTCATCTCAGACCCGAGTCCCTTTCCCAAAAGCAAAACTATCATCAGTTTCTTGAGTATCCTTCCAGAAGGAGAGTAGGGCTAAGAAATATAATCATGTGGGTATATGTGACTCCCTTAACACTCCATATACACACACAGTCACTTTCTATACTCCCCTCCTATACTTTGTTTCCCACCACCACACACATACACACTTAACAGGATACCTTGGGGATTATCTTAAACTGCCTGTGGAATCATCACACCAGGACCAGAACCTTGCCAGGGATCATACACATAAGAGTCTCCAGGTCGAGCCATTCAGACCCTATGTTTCCCAAAGGCCTTGGGGTCTCTTGGTTCTCCCAACAAAATCATCACCAACCAAGTCTGTTTCCAGCCAACCTACCACCATCCCAGCCTTCATTCACCCAAGAAGTGGAGACGAACCCTGTTCATTCCGTGAGGATATGACCTCGAATGGTCCTGACCTCTAGGATCCTAGTCTTTGAGGAGAAAAGGCCAGATGCACCTACCACGTTTCCTCCATAACTCCTAAGGCGTGTACACAAGACTGAGCTGCCTGGGGCAGTTGTAGTCTCCCCACCTTTCCAATATAACCCCTTCACACTCCAGAGGGGTAAATGTTTTCTAAGGGGGTTGGGCAAGCAAAGAAACTGTTGAAAATACATGCAATTAATGGGTATAGAAAATTTCTGGAAGAAAACGCATGTAACTTTTAACAGTGGTACCTCTGGGGAGGGAGACTAGGAGGGGACTTACTTTTTAGTGTGTTTCAATTATTTTTTGCATGTGCATGTAGTATTTTATAATTTTTTAAAAAGTAAATGAAATCACCTACATGAATTTGGGTATGGACTTCTTTCTCCAAAATGGAAATATCTATTATTTTTTTATGATGATATTTGATCATGGTAAAACATTCATAGCAAATTTGAAACCAGTCCCATGATCTGAAGTTGTGGAAATAAGCTTGGTTAACTGATGGGTATTTTCTACACTTTCAGTATACAGTCACATGTGCACAGATAACTCAGTCCCTTTAAATAGAAACAGGATACTATATATTATTTGTGCCTCTTGCACCTAAGAAGACACAATATATCAATACATAAAACTAGCTGATGATTTTTACTCCATTGCTTCACTGTTTATAAAAAAACATTATCTATCAAAAGGGGATTTATTAAATAAATTATGGCCCATTTATACCACAAAATTCTATATGGCCATTAAAAAATAGATATATTCATGTTGATATGTATATATACACACACAATTTTTTTAAGTACAGTATATACAACTGTAGTTATGGTGAATAGTAGTTATAGTGAGAGTGAAAGTGTGGAAGGGAAACTCAAGTTTTATTGCACAGTTTTGTGTACTTTTTCTTTCTTTTAACATATGAATATTTATCAATTCCATTTGATGAGGAATTGTGTTTATCTTGTCCACCATTATATCATTATATCAGAAGAACAAAACCTGCTCTTATAAGGTCATTCAATAAATATTTACTTGAAGAACAACTTTATAGACTAATTTACTAAAAATATTCCAGTTAACATCCAAGCCCCTGCTTCTTTGTTCTGAATTAAAGTTTGAGACTGCTGTTAGACCTTTCCCACCTCTCCCCTGACACTAGGCAACATCTTCCCTTGAAAAGTCCCAGTTCTTGGAGTACTTACCAACAAAGAAAGATGTCAGTGAATGTCTCTGCTGTGGTGAAAAGTGCAAATATAATCCAGTACATCATCCACTTGACCTGTTGAACAAAAAAGCAACAAAGCTAGTAGAGAAGGTCAAGGATAAATGGCTGCCCAACATCAAGAAGAAAAGGCCCAGGCGGTGTATCCTGCATTTGTAACCCCTTCTCCTTCCTCAGCTCATGTCTAATTCCACTCTAGTTCCAGACTGTGGGGCTGGAGGCAAACAGGCTGTTTCCACAACTGATCCATGCTTAAGGTGGTCAAAGGAGACCCTGGGTGATCTTCAAAAGCCTTCATGTGAGCCAGGGAGACCTGCAGACCAGGAGTGACTGAGGATTCAGTTGGGTCATTTTTCCAAGACTAATACCAGCTGAGTAACCTCTCCAGGCCTTCACAAAGACACACCCCATAATGAACTTTAACAAGGCCAGACTCTCTGAGATGGAATGGTGGTAATCCTCACTGGCCACCTAAGAATTCTGTCCTGTGGGAAAACCCCACAGTCTCTTGTAGAAACTAGATCTTTAAAAAAAAATCTCTCCTACATGACCATCCATTTCCATTTCCACTGCCTGTCTCCTCCAGNTGAAAATACATGCAATTAATGGGTATAGAAAATTTCTGGAAGAAAACGCATGTAACTTTTAACAGTGGTACCTCTGGGGAGGGAGACTAGGAGGGCACTTACTTTTTAGTGTGTTTCAATTATTTTTTGCATGTGCATGTAGTATTTTATAATTTTTTAAAAAGTAAATGAAATCACCTACACGAATTGTGAAACAAGCCACCATCCTACCTCTTCTAGGACCATATATTATACAATTCCTGTTTTTGTCAAGATAGAAAGTTTTTAAAAAGCTAACTATGTAGAGGGCACTGCCCTAGGGGAGGGGTGGGAAGAGGAAAATGGGGATAGGGGAAGAGTGACGGACAACATAAATATGAGGGGCCATCTCCAATCCCAGAAGTAAACAAAAGTTAAAGGTGCTTCTAGGATGCCAGAAGGTCCATTTTAGGACAGAAGCTTTCCTTTTTTATTATAAAGAGAGCACAGAGCTGCCGAACTGATGTCCATGTCCCTGGAAGGGACACAGGGCTGTTTGTCTGTCTGATAGCCTGTCCTGTGCCCATTCCCAGGACAAGAGGGAGGAAGGAGAGGGAAGATTGTCCCAGAAGAAGACTATAACCTGTAATACTGCAGGTTGGTAGAAAAAGAGAAAGCAGGCTGAGGGCATGACCAGGCTGCGGGCAAAAGCAGGTAGGGAACATTCCCAAGGAACCTCTTTCCTAAAGAAGTGGAGCTCAGAGTGCCAGGAAAGGGCCAAGTGGCCCTCACTTTCCACCCAGGAATTGCCTGGACAGCTGCAGCTAAGAGGAACTAGATGAAGCCTCTATGTGGATCAGGAAGAGAGGGTGATTCTACACAGACCAGTGTACATGCTCCAAATACACCAATCTGCAGTAGGAAGATCATGGTCCCATGACCTTCTCGTCCTGATGTTACTCCTATAAATATGTTCTCTTAACATGGAAAAAGGGATTTTACAGATGTAATTAAGGTTATTTATCAGCTGACTTTAAGATAGGGAAGATTGTACTGGATTATTGGATTATTAATCTAATTACACGATCCCTTAAAAGCAAAAGCAGGTGTTTCTCTGGCTGGTAGCAGAAGACAGACATTCAAAGCATGAGAAGGATTTGACATGCCAATGTTGGCTTGCAGATAAAGGGGGTGGCACGTGTCAAGGAAATGGGGGCCTCAGTCTTACAGCCACAAGGAACTGCCAACAACATAAATAAGCCTGGAAGTGGGGTCTCCCCCAGAGCCTGCAGATGAAGAGCCCTGGCAGTCCACACCCTGACTTTGGCCTTGTGAGGTTCTGAGCAGAGGATTCAGTTGATTTTACCTGGACTTCTGACTCACAGAAACTGTGAAATAATAAATTTCCATTGTTTTAAGCTGCTGAATTTGTGGCAATTTGTTACAGCAGTAATAGAAAACTAATACACCTCCCAAATCAAATCAACCCTACAAATGGTTGTTGAGCACTTAGTAAGTATGAAACTCTAAAATTTCAGGGCCATGGATAAGGACATATTCCAGCTACCAGGTAGGGGGCACATTCATCATCAGAGAGCATTTCTATTTAGCCCAAAGCAACAAGGCTGAAATGCCCATATTCCCAGTGCTCATAAGACTAACACTGTTCCTCCCTGTTGTTTATGAGAAGGGACAGGAGGACAGCAGGAGGCCACCCAGCACCAGACTGAAGACATTGGAAGAGGGAAAACTAGAGGACATGAGTTCGCCATGCTGTTAAATCTACTACATAGTTTTCACTGGTCCTGGCCTATTACCCTCATCTCCATGGGACACAGAGGGGCCTCTCAATGTAGGTCTGCAAAAAATGGGGTCTGACTTCTAGTGCCAGCCCCTGGGAGAGACAAAGGATGCCTCGGCAGAGTTCCTTCTCTACTCCTGGAGACTCAGCCCTGTCCTGAGTCAGTTGTTTGAGTGCAGGGCAATGCAGATGGTACAAGCATATTAAATTAGGTAATCTACATTTCTTCCCAATGTGGCTTAGACATCTATTTCTCCCAGTGGAGGAGAAAGCGGGGGAAAAACTACATACTAAGGTCATTAAAGCCATTGACCCAAAACAGGATTCAGAGAAGTGGTGTTCAGGTCTGGTCTTTGGCCTAGGATAACCTGGACGGTAAGTTCATACTGATCCTTTTTGGGTATGGACTTCTTTCTCCAAAATGGAAATATCTATTATTTTTTTATGATGATATTTGATCATGGTAAAACATTCATAGCAAATTTGAAAC